AAATGAATGACATGATTTCAAAATGTAAGCAGAAATACGATTTACAAAATCACTTCGATGAATCTTTTCAGACTAATCCATTCAATTTGGGCTTTTTTTGTTCTTTTTGTTGTTTAAAACGATCTCATTCTGTGAAGTTAGGCAGGATTAGAGGGCAGGGATGATCCATAAGAACAGTGCTCAAATGTATAGTTTTTAAATGGTCTTTGTTTAGTAATTTACCAAGAATATGTAAATTTAATAGAAAAAAATATACAGAATTTGTAGATATTGCAGCTAACTACTTAATGTGAGGTGTTTTTTTTTGAAACTTTTGAAACTATATTTAGTTTAAAGTGAGTGGGCCTCTCAAAATACATACATTTTACACTTTAATAACATCATTTTAATATTTTCATTTAAATCACTGTTTTTAAAGGGATCATTTATCATTTGTGTAAATTATCATTTATTTTATCATATTGTTCAATTCAGCTTTTTTTAGTTTCCACTCAAAATGGGTCATTTGTTTGATTACCCACCTAACCTGCAAGTACACTTGGCCGCCCCTAGGGGGCGGCGACTCCATTGTTTAGCTCTACTTTAAAATGTTCAACAGAAGTCAGTTATAGTCCTATGAAAAAGTTTGGGCACCCCTATTTTATTTCTAAATAGTCGGGTGTTTGCAACAGCTATTTCAGTTTGATATATCTAATAACTGATGGGCACAGTAATATTGAAGTTTATTGGACAAACAGAAAATGTGCAATATGAATTAAAACAGAATTTGATGGGTGCAAAAGTTTGGGTATCATTTTATTGATTTGAATACCCTTAACTACTTTTCACTGACTTACTGAAACACAAAATTGGTTTAACTTCATTAAGATTTGAACTTCATAGCCAGGTGTATCCAATCATGAGAAAATGTATTTAAGGTGGCTAGTTGCAAGTTGTTCTCCTGTTTGAATCTCCCCTGAAGATTCATCATGGGCACCTGGAAACAACTCTCAAATGATCTGAAAACAAAGATTGCTCAACATATTCGTTCAGGGGAAGGATACAAAAAGTTGTCTGAGATTTAAACTGTCAGTTTCCACTGTGAGGAACAATAAGGAAATGGCGGACCACAGGGACAGTTTATGTTAAGCCCAGAAGTGGCAGGCCAAGAAACATATTCAAGGGAAAGTAGACAAATGGTGGGAATCCTCAAGGACAATCCAGAGACCACCTCCAAAGGCCTGCAGCATCATCTTGCTGCAGATGGTATCACTGTGCATCGTTCAACCACTCAGCGCACTCTGCACCAGGAGAAGCTGTATGGGAGAGTTATGCCACAGAAGCCTTTTCTGCAAGCACGCCACAAACAGAATCGCTTGAGATATGCAGAAGCACATTTTGACAAGCCAGCTTTATTTTGGAATAAGGTCCTGAGAACTGATGAAACCCACTGTAAAAATTGGTGGAGGTTCCATCATGCTGTGGGGCTGCGTCGCAAATGCTGGCACTGGGAATCTTGTTAAAGTTGAGGGTGGCATGGATTCCAGTCAATATCGGCAGATTCTTATGAATAATGTTAAAGTTACGAAGTTGAAGGTACCCTGGGGATGGATATGTAAGCAAGACAATGATCCAAAACACCGCTCCAAATCTACTCAGGCATTCATGCAGAGGAGCAATTCCAATGTTGTGGAATGGCCATCCCAGTCTCCAGACCTGAATATCATTGAAAATCTGTGGGATGATTTGAAGCAGGCTGTCCATGTTCGGCGACCATAACGCATAACTGAACTGGATTTGTTTTGCAAAGAATGGTCAAAAATCCCTTCATCCAGGATCCAGGAACTCATTAAAAGCTACAAGAAGCGACTAGATGCTGTTGTTTTTGCAAAAGGAGAATCTACTAAATATTGTCTTTTTGCTGAGGTGCCCATAATTTTGCACCGGTCAATTTTGTCTTAATGCATACAGCACATTTTCTGTTAGTCCAATAAACCTCAATTCAATACTGAAATATTACTGTCAATCAGTTATTGTATGACAAACTGAAATGGCTGTTGCAAACACCCAAATATTTAGAAATGAAATTAAGATTAATAGGGGTGCCCAAACTTTTTCGTATGAATGTCAATTAAGTCCTTGTTAAAAACTAAAGCTTTATCCTGACATCATGGTGCTTGGAAAATTCATTTGACAATTAAAGATATCAAGAACATCTTAAATTCTTTGTACTTCGAAGACAATGTTTCTTATTGTTAAAAGAAAAAAATGGAAGAAAAAAAACACATTTGTACATTTAAATTTGACAGAAAAATCCAAAAGTGAAGCTATTTTTGTAAAAAGGTAACTTTCTTTTTATCACATTTGTTCTTTAAAAATGTTTTTCAGATTTTCTTTTTTAATCTAAATTTGTATTTTAACTATTTTTTTTGGCAGTGGAGTTTTTTTCAAATGTGTTTTTTAAAAGATGTAACATTTTAATTTTTTTTTTCTTCAAATTTCTGTTTTTCAGTTTGCCTCCTTTTCAAATGACACTTTCTTGATCTCGTTCTCTTTGCTTTTTGGGACGGGGCTTGTCTCTGGATGGAAGATGCATTTTTATCTATATGGACCTTAGAGACGTTGTTATTGATCAATGTGCGGGTCAAGATGGAAGGGAAAAGATTGTAGAACTCTATCTAAAAAACAGAAATTGGGGAAAATCTAAAATCTGTAAAAATAAATTAATAAATAAATAATAAAAAAAATAGAATTTGAATAGATAATAATAATAATAATTGGGCTTTAACAAAGTCTTAGAAAATGGCAGTTTACTGTGAAAACTTTGATTAAAAAGTTCTTTTTAGTTCTCTTTCCAGGTTGCATTTTTTTTATCTTCAACAAAAAAAATAATGGAAGAAAATTCAATCCATAGAACATTAGTTTTAAAGAAACTCAACATTAAAATGTCAGTTTTGAGTTGAAAGCATTTGTTTATATAAAGACTGGTTTGGTGTGTGGTTTTTTTTTTTTTTTTTTTTTTTCCCAGGGAGTATGGAAACTTGCAGCTCAACGGCACATCTTTGAACGACATCGTAAAGGTGGGGCGGGTGACCTCTGTGACGGTGTCTCCGGTTGTAGAAAACAAGGTTGCTCTGCAGTTTGGGGACTTTACCCAGACATGGACCATAACAATCAGCCCACGTAAGGAACCAGAGTACATGAGCATGTTTATCAACCTACAGGGGCTGGTCATAAAATTAGAATATCATGAAAAAGTAGATTGATTTCAGTAATTCCATTTAAAAAGTGAAACTTGTATATTATATTCATACATTACATACAAACTCATATATTTCAGATGTTTATTTTGTTTAATTTTGATGATTACAAATGACAACAAATGAAAATTTCAAATTCATCATATCAGAAAATTAGAATATTACTGAAGACCAATAAAAACAAAGGATTTATAGAAATGTTGGCCAACTGAAAAGTATGAACATGAAAAGTATGAGCATGTACAGCACTCAGTATTTAGTTGGGCCTCCTTTGGCCTGTATTACTGCAGCAATGCGGCGTGGCATGGAGTCGATCAGTCTGTGGCACTGCTCAGGTGTTATGATAGCCCAGGTTGCTCTAATAGTGGCTTTTAGCTCTTCTGAATTGTTGGGTCTGGTGTATTGCATCTTCTTCTTCACAATACCCCATAGATTTTCTATGGGGTTAAGGTCAGGAGAGTTTGCTGGCCAATTAAGAACAGGGATACCATGGTCCTTCAACCAGGTACTGGTAGCTTTGGCACTGTGTGCAGGTGCCAAGTCCTGTTGGAAAATGAAATCTGCATCTCCAAAAAGTTGGTCAGCTGCAGGAAGCATGAAGTGCTCTAAAACTTCCTGGTATGTGGCTGCGTTGACCCTGGACCTCAGAAAACACAATGGACCAACACCAGCAGATGACATGGCACCCCAAACCATCACTGACTGTGGAAACTTTACACTGGACTTCAAGCAACGTGGATGAAGTGCCTCTCTTCTTTTCCTCCAGACTCTGGGACCTTGATTTCCAAAGGAAATGCAAAATTTACTTTCATCAGAGAACATGACTTTGGACCACTCACCAGCAGTCCAGTCCTGTTTCTCTTTAGCCCAGGCAAGACGCTTCTGACGCTGTCTGTGGTTCAAGAGTGGCTTGACACAAGGAATGCGACAGCAGAAACCCATGTCTTTCATACGTCTGTGTGTGGTGGTTCTTGAAGCACTCACTCCAGCTGCAGTCCACTCTTTGTGAATCTCCCCCACATTTTTGAAGGGGTTTTGTTTCACAATCCTCTCCAGGGTGCGGTTATCTCTCTTGCTTGTACACTTTTTTCGACCACATCTTTTCCTTCCCTTCGCCTCTCTATTAATGTGCTTGGACACTGAGCTCTGTGAACAGCCAGCCTCTTTAGCGATGACCTTTTGTGTCTTGCCCTCCTTGTGCAAGGTGTCGATGGTCGTCTTTTGGACAACTGTCAAGTCAGCAGTCTTCCCCATGATTGTGTAGCCTATAGAACTAGACTGAAAGACCATTTAAAGGCTTTTGCAGGTGTTTTGAGTTAATTAGCTGATTAGAGTGTGGCACCAGGGGCCATCAATTTTGAACCTTTTCACAATATTCTAATTTTCTGATATGATGAATTTGAGATTTTCATTTGTTGTCATTTGTAATCATCAAAATTAAACAAAATAAACATCTGAAATATATGAGTTTGTATGTAATGTATGAATATAATATACAAGTTTCACTTTTTAAATGGAATTACTGAAATCAATCTACTTTTTCATGATATTCTAATTTTATGACCAGCACCTGTATTTGACCCTGTTAGGACCTTTTCTCTCTCACCCTAAGGCACGAAGGTGATCAAAATCAAAGGCAGGCACAAACCTGAGGAGAAGCCAACAAAGGCAACAAAGGTATTGCTGATATGAAATTGCTTCTTTTAGCTCCAAATAAACATGTCTATATAAAGAATTTCTCCACTGTTTTGTTCCAGGGCCTTCTGGAGATGCTTGATCCCTCTGAGGTGTTTGCATGTGAAAGTGGAGCAATGTTTCTGCACCAGGAGGAGAACTTCTTCCTTGCTGTTGGTATGATGAACTTTTCAGGTTTGGGAGATTGGCTTTAGGATTTAATTAATCATCATCTCTGAAGCTAGAATTCCCTAAAAATAAAGTTTATATGTCGCCTTGCAAATCAGCCTCAACTGGATATTTCTATTTTCCCCTTTAAGGTAATAAGAAGTAAAAAGGAAGATTAGGAAGAAAACAGTAACTGTTGAAGGCTTTAAGACAGAGGTTCCCAAACTTTTCACCCTTTTACCCTAAAAAAATTAGAGCCGCAATCCAGCGACCCAATAAAATACATAATTATTCATTTATAAAATGCATTTGTTTCTAAAATATAATTAATATAATTTTTAAATATCAGGGCATTATATTGTGCCTTTTATAATTTAATGGTATCTTTACTGTAGTATTTAAAATAATATAAATTACATTTGGTTTAATTATTCACCTGCTTTAACGAATGACCATACGATGACATCTAGTGGAAAAGTCATGTTGAGGGACTTTGTTTTCCAAGTTTGAAGATGTTTCGCTTCCCATCCAGGAAGATTTTTTTTAATTCAAAATGTCTGGAGTAGCGTTTGAGTTCCAGGCTTTTTTTATGCTCTTTTTTGCTATATACACTCTATTTATATTGTCTATTTTATTTTTATCTTTAATGGCATCTTGCTTTAACTCTTTTTACTCTATATAAGCTGGTGGTTAATAAGGCATCTCGAAGCGTTTCCACCCATTGCCAAACTATTGATACTGTTATGTCTCACAGAATACTGACACCTGCTGGACATGGCAGGTTATTTTACAGATTAAACTGAATTGATTTGATCACCTAGTACAATGATATAATTTAAATTATTGAAGGTTATATTGTATTATTTCATATCTGTTTAAATTTAGAATATATTTGATATTTTTAGATGCAGCCAATAAATAATGTTAATATATTATAACAGGAAAAGTTAGGGGAAAATGTGAATGATGCTTGTTGACTAGAAGTTTAAAGCATATTTTTTTTAAACAATAAGTACAGAAAAAACATTAAATAAACTAAGAGTCAATTTGAAATTAACTTTATTTTAGATTAGTTGAGTGATAAGTGGGAGGAAAAGTATGACGCGAGAAAATTAAAATGAAAACGCCACGGCTGAAACGTTCCCATTGCTTTTAGGTTGCTCCAAAATTCTTCATAATTTAATGATAAACTGCAAAAGATGACATTTAGTTTTTAGCAGATGCATCATGTTTTTAAACACAGTTTAGTCTGTTGAAAGCAACTCCAATATCCGTCACATGACTTTGCTGAAAATATATACACACCAATGCAGTGTTGCTCTATGGGCTCGACGCTGCACCCAATCATCGGTGTTGCTGAATCCATCGCTAATATAAGCTACTGGAACCAGAATTTCCCTGAAGGGATAAAATTGAGTCCAAGTCTATAGAGTGGCCCAAACAAAAGCCTTATGGCTTAGAAAACATGCAAATTGAACAGAAAAAAACAGGTCCAACCCTTAGTAACGAGGAGTCGTTAAGGTCGATTTTAACCACTCCCCATTACTAAGGGGTGGACCTGTTTTTACAGTTTAATTTGCTTGTTTTCTAAGCCATAAAAAGTTTTTTGTTTGGGCTACTCTATAAGCCTGGAACTCAATGCTACTGCAGACATTTTGAATTGAGAAAGCTTCCTAGAAGAGAAGTGGTATAAGTTTTTTTAACTTTGCTAGAATAGCTATGACCTGGAAGACTGAAAATCTCCACCAGCATGTTAAGGGTTTGCTATATGCAGATCTGTTTCTCAAGTCTTTCATTTTTATTTAAAATTCTTTTCCAATTTTACATAAAATCTCCCTCCAAATATGTTGTTTGGTCGTAGCGATGATGGATGTCATTAGCTTTGAACTGGATGAGTTTATTTTCCTCCATCCATTCTAATTAAACTATTGGATGACTTGTTTCTCTTCTCTGAGGTCACACGACTCGTTTCCCCATCAAGCTGGAGTCCAGGAGTCCTTTCATGTTACTGGTGTCCTGGATGGTGCACAGTCCAACCGTTCGCCATCCTCACAATGTGACCCTTTTCCACAATGAGATCGGATCCTATCATCCCTACATGGAGGACATCACCTCTAAGAACCAGTACCGCTTCACCGCCTTAGACCCATGCAACAGCTACATGGTCTGTGTGGAGATTTCAAACTCTCACTCCTTCACATGCCTCTCTACTATTACAGGTATAAACACCTAGACTTTATTTCTGTGTAGAAGTCATACATTAGATGATCTTATAATCCCCCCCCCCCCCCCCCCCCCCCCCCCCCGAGTAGACCCAGATGTTCCGAAGTATTTTGATGTGACGTCATGGAACAGCAGCAGCATATCGTTGGCGTGGGACTGCCCTGAAAACCTGAAGTACTCGTCCTTCTTCCTCACCATCTTCTACCTTAACGGTACGGACCATGTCACTGAGGAGGCGGAGCTGTGGCTGACGGATGACAGCTTCACGTTCACCATGTCTGAGCTGCAGCCCTGCGTCAGGCTCAGGTTTGGCCTGCAGACTGTCTGCCAGGCAGGGTTGGAGTCCCGCTACAGCAGGATGGTGGAGAACGAAGGAAACTCTGGTAGGTTTGCTCTTCGTCCACCTTAAAATCCATGGTTTCAGGGTTTATGATGCTGCTACTTTGGGCATTTCTGCTCATGGAAGCATCGTTGAGGTTTTCGAAGTTTATCAGTAAAAACTGGAGCTTTTTATAAAAAAAAATTTCTAGTCCCAAAATTATTAGACCTACTTATATATATTCTTTTCTTTGTAATACTGCTCTTCATTTGCTTTTACCACCTTTAGTTTGAGACAAAAAAGCTCCAAATATTTAAAGGAAATGCAGACAATGTAACTGATTCAACTTTTTAATCCAGTTTTGTTGCTCCTGTTCCTTTTCAATAACTCAAGTTATGGGGTAAGCTTTGTTCTATTATAGTTGCAAAGTTCACGTTTTTTTACATAGAAATTTCAAATGGAAAGTGCTGCTTTAATGTTCTTTAATAACTCATGTAGCTTACTATGATCATGTGTTTAATAATGCGGTTTATATTGGTGTGTTAACCTCTGATGTTCACAGTGGTCCTTGGTGAACTTCAGGGGCTTCAGCATTTCCCCAGACACATTAAAATCAGAGGGAACAATAATGGAACAAAATTCACTCCATACTAGCCCCTCTGATATTCAGAGTAAAGAATGAATTAAAGGAAAAAGCTCTCCTTTCATTTTCTATATAGTTACACTACCAAGTATTAATTCGTTACGGTCAAACTTTGTAGTGGCCCGAGTCTAGTATATGTTTTTCATAAAGTTGACTTGGTTACTATGACAACTGACCCAAACTTGGAGCTGACTAAGTCCAAACTGTCTTTAAGCGGCTGCCGTAGTTCTTTAAGTAAGAATTTAGTCAGGAAGAATCTAGTGTAGCCAAAATAGTAATAAGGAAAAATTAAATAGTTTTAATCATTTCTTTGATTGCTATATTGTCGCCGTCTTACCACTTACAAGTTTATTAAAGATGTCATTTATTAATTTGATCCGGTATTTTATTTTATTACAAACTTCATCAGCCTTCTTTCTAAAAGGAAAAAAAGCTGACATAATCCTATTGTTTAACAAAGGTAAATGTTGACTTTTTTTTTTTTTTTTTAACAGCAGTTTTTGAAAAGGAAAGTTTTATTTTGAGTTTTCAAAGCTGAAGGTTTAGAAATGGGATCCTTGGGAGTGAAGCTGACCTTTATAGTTCCTACAGTAACTTTTAAACAACTACAAAATGATACCGATATTGTTTAATCTCTACTGATGATCTTTATACATGTTAAAATACACTATATCCATGTGGAAATGATATTTTATGTAATTGTGATCACATAAAAATTGCTCCTTTAATAAGCAACATAGAATCTGTGAATTCATATAAAAAGATGTACCCATGAAATAACCTTGCATATGTTTAACTAACCTGCTTTTAATCTTTTTAATGGTTAAAATGTCATTGATTTCCAACAGAAATTAGCCTTTTTTTATGTGTGTTTGGGAGGATAAATGTTTTAAAGTCTTTGTTAAAATCTAACCAGTTTGCTGCTTTCTTGCCAGACTTCTCCAGGATTTATTGGTTGCGTCAGACCTCGACTGGCTCCAGAAACTACACCCTGAGCTGGGAGGTGAGGAACACCTCCTCCATCTCCATGTTTAGGGTTTACCATCAGGGGGCGCTGCAGGACACCACTCTTCTGACCACACACACCGTGGCAGGGCTGCTGCCATGCCAGACGTACCAAGCCAAGGTGGCGGCGGTGTGCGGCGACAACGTCCTCATGAGTGTTGGAACAGTCGTGGCGCGCACAGGTAACTCGCACCTGACGTCTTCATTTCTCTAATTCCTGCTTCTTATAAATGGGGGTTATCTGTGTTCAGGACCTGGGGGGGTGTCTGAGCTCAGGTACCGCTCCAGTGATTCTACGGCCCTGTGGGCGCCCAGCATCTCCGGACAGCAGGATGTGGTTTACCTTTACCAGCTCTCCCTGGAGAGCGGCTCTGCCGTGGAGAGCAGCAGGGTTTCCGACTCAGAGCTGCCTCTTCCAGGGCTGGAGGCGGGGAAACCCTACATCCTGGACGTGTGGGAGGAGTGCCACGGTCTGTGGGAGTCAGAACCTTCTCGTTTGTATTTCAAAGGAGCCAATCTGACTTCTGGCGTCGACGTGAGGGGTGTTGTACCCCTTCAGACCAATGGTCAGTATGAGCTATCACTAACTCTGTCAATGTTTTCTGGGAAGTAAATCCTGCCTTTATGTGGATGTTGGGGGGGCCTCTGCAGAGCTGCAGTCCGATTTTGACAGCATCGGTCTGAGGGTGGTGGTTCCCTGGTCTCCGACAGATAATCTACAGGATGATTCTTTAGAATCCAGAGAGGAAATGGTGCAGATTCTTAAAGCTAAGGTCAGGAACTCTTCAAAACTGCAATAATCAGGTGAAATAATTCTGCTGTAATTGAGTGCTGGCCTCCTTTAGTTGGAGGAACTGCTGAAGGACTTCGATCAGCCGGCCCACATTGAGCTGGATTCCTTGAAACCAGCGGACGAGCAAGGAAAGACGGTGCTGCTGTTTAAGTCCTTCGACGCCTCCAACTCCCAAGAAGACGTTGCCTTGCCGGTCGACGATCAGCTCGCCCACATCCGTTCACTCAATAGGCCTGAGATCAGTGTGAGGAACGGGGTCATTTACGTGGACGGTGAGCGGCTCGTTTCGGTCGGATGTTTGAGAACAAGTCCTGAGTCACGCCGTTTATAATGCTCTCTTTGTGTTTGGGCTCCAGACTCGTGTGCTTCCCAGAAACCCATCTGCCCGCCTCATTCTGTATGCATCAACCAGCTGGGCTCGTACTCCTGCGTTTGTGCAGACGGTTACTATGACGTCGGCTCTTTACTGGACCTGCCTGCAGCCTCACATCCGGTCTGCAAAGGTACAGAACTCATCAGCGGGTTTGAATTAGAAACTGACACGGAAGTGGATTTTCACTCCTGTCCCGTGACACTCCTGGTGAAATTACTCCAACTCCCGTCCCGCTCCCATTCAGAATGACTCCCGCTCCTGCACCACTCCCATTCTCGTTGTCTTCAATAAGATTTCTGCCAATACATTGAATCTGAATTTCTCTGAAGGGTCAGTTAAGTTCCTGTTTCTAACTGTAGTAGTTAGTAGTGTTGGTCCCTCCGTTGTTGTTTTTGAGCATTGGTGAAAAACTCAGAGCGGAAGCACTGTTGGTTTTTGGGTCGTGTAGTTTTTTTTGACTCATTATAGTGTAGGCTTTAAGGAAAAAAACTACAAAATGGCGCCAGTACTAGATTTTTTTTTCTTTCTATTTGATTTTATTTTTTGGCATCTATCCGAGTTTTTTTTTTTGTTATTATTGTTTTGCTCCCGCTCCCGTCTGCTCCCGTTAATGTTTAATCCTGTACCGTCCCAATCACGTGATCGTTACTAATACTGACTCCCATCCCACGGGAATCCCGTGACCCGTGGGATTCCGAAAAAAATGTCAGTCTCTAGTTTGAATTTACATAATCGGAACACAGAAGTAACGTTAGCTGCGATCTATAAAGGAAAACTGCTTTATTTGATTCATAAATTAGATTAGTTGTATGAAGTGTTTTATAAATGAGAACTCGGTTTCTTTTATTTGACAAATCCTCTTTTTCTCTGATGCACTTGATTTGTTCAAATTAGGAAAGCTAGAAACCAAGGTAACCCTTAACTGTTGGCCTTTTTCTAATTTTAAAGGTTTATGCTAATGTTGCTATAAAATATTTTAGAAGTGTGAGTAGAATATGATTCTTTGCTGCAGCTTTTAATTGGAGCTTCACTGCTGATCAGTTTCATGCTCCTCCTTGCTTTATATGCCATGGTGGTAGAGCCTCCAGTTTATAACCCTGATCGTCTGGGAATCACAGTGATGCTGCTTTATCATTGATCAAAGCTGTTTACTTTTACATATCAATACTGCGCCAATCATTAGTGTTTCTAATTGAACCTGCTCTGAAATGAAATGGATCTCTGCAGAAAAATAAATCTCATCTCTTGATTTTTAAACAGATAAAGGGCTTTTCAGCCAGTGTCTGGATAAGGTGATGACGGGTGGAATAGCAAAGGCCTACCTGGCTTCTCTTTTTGGGGGAAAGTTTGAGGTGAAACTGAACGACGGCCGATGTCCTGTGAATGAAACGGACATCCTGTACTACTTCAAAACCTCACGAAACCCACTCGAGTGTGGAATAGAGAAACAGGTGAGCGGTGGATTTCAGAGCTGGAAATGCAAGCTTCTGTTAAAATTAAATGTCCACCCCGGGGGGGGGGGGGGGTTATTTATTAAATATCCAGACTGTCATGTTGTTCTGTGAACCGAAGTTCAACTGGCTGTGTGTGAGAACAGTAAATGAAATTAAGACTTTAGCTCAAATCGTGGGCAAATGGGTAACTCTGCACACATATGGAATAACTTTCATTCCAAAAAATGAGTTTAACTAAAATCATTCAGCTCAAAGTCAAACATTTCAGTTAAACTTGATTAAACTAGAGGTTTTTTTTATATACTCTCTTGGGTGTTAAACATAAAGTTAGACCCAAACCCATTGACAGCTCTGTTCGGGGTCATGGGAGGGGAGAAAAATTTAATTTGGGAAAACGCTTTTTATCCCTTTTCTCCCTTCTGGCTCGACGAGCGCTTCTGCTCAGGTGGAAGGATGCTTTCCTTCCCATCCATGCTCAATGGCTGGGGGATATCATGTCCTGTCTAAAATTGGACATTCACTACAGCCTTCAAATAAGTTTTCAGAAGGTGTGGGGCCCCTTTTTGAAAGAATTCAAGACCCTTTAAAGGTTTGGCCCTTGAATACAGCTCAGCCATGCTGCACATTTATTACACACTCTGAGGTTTAGGTCTAACAGTGATTTTATTTCTTTTTTTTATGTAAATAAATATGACTAGTAACCTGGCAATGACATGGAAGGGATTATTTTGCAAACTGTTAAATTTCCTTTCTTCCCTTTCATGTCTCTGTAGCGACTATTCAGCACTGCACATTTGTTATCATGTGAAATTATAAATAAAAAAATTTCGACTAAACTTGATTAACTAGTGGAACGCTACTAAACTAAGCTGCTATGTACACATAGAAAAAGGGGATAAAAATGGTTGAAAACCATAATCGATAAACAATTGACCAGGTTTTATATTTGAGAACAAAGTTTATAATATTGAAGAGCTTGTAATATGATCAAAGTAGCTTTTAACTAATATAGAGCAACTGGAATGTTGCCTATTAATCAGCTATTAAGTCCACTCTAGGACAGGATCTCCCCTCTGCTCCAGAGCAGCAATAACCAGCTGGTCAGTCTATAAAAAATACCCATGGAGGTCTGAGACTATGACCCTGATTGGATAACATGCAAAAATCCTTCACTTCCACTGAGGCTGTCTCTTATGGGGTCTATGGAGCTGGGGCAGGTTGTGAAGCTGGCTGCTCGGTGCTGATTGGTAGAACATCCTTATTGACAGTGTGCAGACAGGAAGGTTTTTCTCACGAGACACAGATGAGAGGAAAAAGTGATTTTTAAACAGTGTCCTGTCTTGCAATAAGAATAATTGTCTTAATGCCAAAAATGAGCCCAACAGATTTTGCTTTCACAAGTGGAGCAGTACGGCTATCGCCATAGTGTTTCGCTTGATTAATACATTTAAATAGCTTTATTATAATTCATGCAGGGAGTATTACAGATTTTATGGAAACTGCAATGTGAGTAAAACAGAAAAGGAAAAAGAGGAAAGAGGAGATACTGTAAAAGGGACTAATTATTCAAGACAGAACAGTCGTCTTGTGCTGAACTTCTTTGTTTCTGGAGTTTCTTTCAGAGCAGCTATTTTCACCCAATGTACACTCGACATTGTAAATATATTAGAAAATACCAGCGTTATTGCAGCACTTGCATTTCATTGAAGCTTTGTCCCTTTGTTTCTTTATGTTTTGATTTAATTAACACCTTCCCTATTTCAGGGGAAGACCAGCAGTTAAAATCTTCAAAAACTCAGGCTGTAGCTGAAAACTCTCCCTAAATTTGCCACACCTGTAACTCTGATCTCTATTTTGGAAAAGTTGTTTCTAGGATTCAGCAGCTTAGCAAGTCAGGCCTGCAGCAGGGAAGCTGTCCTTTCCTGCTCGACTGCTATAGTCTCTGGCATTTCAAGGTTTCCTCTAAACTCTGAGAGAAATGTTGCAGAATAATCTGTTTTTGCAGAAATCTGGTTCGGAAATCGGCCACAATGTCGACTTAGCCTCTGACTGGTCTGCAGATTCTGGTCCTTGAATTCCATCATGGTGTCTCCCTGGTGTCAGCCTCAGGAGAGATTCACAGAAAAGAGTCTGACTTGATTCTTTGTCCCCAAGCACAGTGAGGGGGCAGGATCACATGTCCCTGTGAGAGGAGACATCTGCTGGTCTAAACTAGTCTGCCATCAGGTTCCAAGACACCATGGTATGGAGTTGATTTTGTTCCATTACGGTTGCAAGCAAAGGGCACCTTTTGTCAATCAAAATAATACAAATAAAAAAAAAAAAAGAAAAACAAAGACAGGAAAACTACCTAATGAAAAAAATGGTTTTGAGAGGAACTTATTTTTGCAAATGCCACTTTTTCCAATATGTAAATATGTGGGGGCGGGTTACCTTTGGAGAAATCGGAACACTTATTTCTATCAGTCTATATGGACTCAGAAAATACTATCAGTCAAGCCCATATGTTTGTTATATACAGCTTGTAGTTTGAGAAACTCAACCTGAAAAACAGCCAAATCAAAAAAAAAATAAGATTGTAAATCTCAATCTAAGAGAGTAATGAAAACACAAAATATGAAAAATATTGATTTAAATTTAATAAAAATAAAGATTATTTAAAATTAAACATAATAAAATTAGATATTTTAAAGTATAAAATCTGATTGGTAAAAGCAAGTTTACTCAATACTTTTTTTCTTTAGTGCAGTTTTTTTTTTTTATTCCTGGATTTTATTCTCTTTAAATTGCCATTTGCAAAAGTTGTTCTCTGCTTGCAATAATGGAACAAAATGAATTCCACACCAAGGGAGATGGCTTTATTTTTTCACATTGCAGCGTTGGCAGGGAACCTCGGGACTGAACCTACAAGTTACAGGTCTAGCACCTCTAGTGGTTAGGAATGTTTCTTAAACTTCATGCAAATTGTCCACTGATGAAAGGTGTTTTTAGTAAAGCTGCAAAATCAATTAGGATTCTATAGTTTAAAAGGAACCATGTGTGTTACAGGTGAACAAAACTCACATCGTTCTCCAGAACTTCCTGAGCATCAGTCTGACTAAAGAGCACACGATCAGCCGGCGGGATCTCAAAGTTGTCTGGAAGTGCATCTACCCTCGACATTATCTCCAAAACGCTCAAGTTGGTGCTGATATGGAATGGTAAGGGAAAGGTATGAGTGTTAACAATTTTAAAATGTGATCTTGTTTGAATTTTTTTTATTTGGTTTCAGGCTGTCCTCTCTGTCCTTTGTGGAGTTTAACTCCTCAGTGCAGCTGGGATTGAGCATGCACTTGTTTAAGGATTCCTCCTACACCCAGGCTTACATGGAGCCTGTTGAGCTGGGACATGAGGACACCTTGTTCTTCCAGGTCGCCCTTCAGGCCAACAGGTCGTTTGCCTCAGAGGTCTTGCTGCGGACGGAGTCTTGCTGGGCCACAGAGAGCCCAGACCCACAGGATGCGGTCCAGGCATCTTTTCTTGAAGATGGGTAATTTCTCTCTCTAGTTTTTGGGCCAATAATGATCAGTGGTTCGAAATGGCTAAATCCAGCCTGAACACCTGTCATTAATTCATTTGTAGACCCCCAACTTCCCACTTGTAGAGCCCTGGCTCTTTGTGGTGTTCATTTACCCACACATCTCACTGCTTTGGTTAAAGCAGAAAGTGGAAAAAGAAATTCAATAAAAATGGGGGATTTTGATGCATTGATTTTTCATGCACAAAATTCCTTGATTTCATTCATTTTGTTCACATTAAAAATATATATATACTCTGATTACAGCGACTATATGGGCTGAGAATTAAATAACCCCATCATGACAGGTTTATTTGCATCAGGATTTATTCAGAATAAAGTGTTAAAACAGGAAGTGTTCAAATGCTGTCTGGATGGAAAAAAATGGAAAAGTATTTTTGTTCTGAACACAAAGAATCAACCACACCGGCTTCTGAGAGCAGTTAAAACATTAGTTTCTGTAACCAAGCTACACTACAGCCAACTGCATTAGTGGCAGTAACTGGGGATTTTAATCAGACCTCACTCTCTGCTACAATGCAAACATTTCAACAGTTTACAGCTTTTGTACCACAGAACATAATACCTTGCACTTGTTTTATGCAAATGGATTTAAAGTCCGATCTGCTAGGAAATCTGAACAGTGTTTTTCTATGCTTTGAGTATTAGTCCCTTTTTATAAGAGTCAACCTGCATTAAAAGTAACTTTAAGATGGTCACAGGAGGCTGAAGAAGCGTTTTCTCACAGGATTGCCCTGTATAGTTCTATAGCCCCATCAACCAGCTCTCTGCCCCTGTTAAGTAAAAGCCTTCCCACAACTAGATTCTTTCTATTGCAGAAACAAGTTTGGTTTTCTTTAAGCCACAGAGCTTTGCATGTTTACAATGACTCCTTGGTTGCAAGAGTCGAACTTGAGTTAGAATGGATTTCTTGCATTTTCTGGATGCCTCTTTATGCTCTCCTTGCCTTGACAGTCTTAAAGGCTTACAGATACTCTTTCTATCATCAACTGTTAAAAACTGCTCCGTGAGATGCTCAAATTTAACCATAATTGAAATTTCCCCTCAATTCCCTCCCAAATCTGTCTGCTGTTCTTTATCCTAGTGTTAATCTCAGAACGGCTGCTTAAAGTCTGTTTTCATTCTATACAGACCAACTAGTTGGTTGCATTAGACTCAAAAGTCACCGGTTTTTAATATCTCCTAATCCTTTGAATATATAAATGCCTTTAGTTGGCACAGCTTTTAAGTATGATGTATGTTTTTCTTCAGTTGTCCCACTGACGACACGTTCCAGTGGCTCTCTGTTAACGGCCTGCAGCAGAGCAGCAGGTTTTCCATCCAGATGTTCCACATGCCCAAAGGCCTGCCGCTCTACTTCCACTGTCTGACCAACATTTGTGGGCAAACTGAAGGCTGCACGAAGGTAAAACCTTCCAACAGCATCAAATCCTGCCAGCTTAGATTATAGACTTGATTCTTAAAATGTCTATTCTTCTAATGAAACATCTCCTACTAAATACGTTTTGATCTTTCTACATCCTTGATTTTATCTCGTGTATTAAAACCTCTATGGAATGTAATCAGTATAATCTGGTATAGGAACATAATTAAATGCAGATGAATACTTAATTTCTTAGCCACCAGGCCAGTTAAAGACAAACATGCTTTGCATTTTAGTAAAAATGAAGATGTGTTTATGAAGATGGGTTTATATAAACCACAGATAAAGGCAGGGCCATTTATCCTAACCTGCATGACCTGGAATGAGTAAAAACATAAATCTAATCTCTAACATTAAATTATGTTATTGAAAACATGATGGTAGAAAAAAATTTGTACTGAAATCCAGTCAATATGTTTAAAAATTTTAATTCCTTTTTTTAATTCCTGAAAGTTGGACGTCAGATCTGTGAATATCAGTACACAGGAGGAGAGCTTGTTAGGGTTGCAAGTTGGAAAACCATCGGCTAACTGCGGCTAGTTGGGACATGCTAGCTCCGGTGTGTTTAAACAGTAAAGGATGAAGCTCAGGATTGACAATTCTGTCTGCCTCACTATTAGCATTACAGCCATAGAGGGAATTTGTTCCATTAGTTTCGCAAGCAAAGTGTTATAAACACTTAAATCAAAATTTCAAAAAGAATTAAACTTTGAAAGACCTAATTAAAAAAGGTTTAGAGTAAATTTTGTCCTTTTTTTTATATATATATTTTATCAACTTTTTCCTGCTTTTATTTATTTTTTTACACTTTAGTTATTTAAAAATGTGTTCTTACAAATATTTTTTATTCAAATGTTTCAGATTTTTACAAATTGTAAACTTCATATTTTTTCCAGATCACATTGTCTTTAACTTTCAGAAGTTAAAGACATTTTCTAAAAATCAATCTCAAAATGAGAAATTTCTAAATAAGTGGAAAAAAATAAACCTTTGAAAATCTTGCAACCTAAAACAGAAAAGGGGGGGGGGGGGGGGGGGTAAAATAGTTGCTTTCTCAGATTCTATTCTTTATATTCCATTTATTTTTAAAAGTTTATTTATTTTAAGTTTAATTTCTGGATAAGAATAGTATTGATAACATAATACAATAGAATAGAAAATATGTTTATTGTCCCACAAAGTGGAAATTCTGGTGTTTACAGCAGCAAAAAAAAATTTTTTACTTTCACTATTATGTTATTCTCATACATTTTTCTCATACAAGGTCCTTATTTGTGTGACCATTTTTTTTCTATAAACAAATACTGATACTGTAAGCAAAATAAATACTGTACACCCAGGGAATAAATAACCAATATACAGCTATGGACATTTTTGCATTAATGGATATTTGAAAATCAGAGATGTGCAAAGTGACAGCAGCATGTTATTTAACTAAGATTATTTTAAAGCAGAGCAGCAGTATGAAGGAACAACTAAGCAGCTTTGGAACAATTTTTCCTTCATACAGGTTATATGGCCCAAAACTAGAAGTACAGCTGAAGCAAAACTTCTCCCTATTTATTTAAACAATCTTTCAGTATCTGATCCTTAACATGGCAGCTAACATTTAGGGGGGGTAACCATATCACAATCAAACTTTTTATTTTTATTTGAAATTTCTCAATTGTTGTGTTTTTGCTTCTTGAGTCAAAGAACATAAGCTTTTTTTCTTTTAATTTCAGTGAAATAAAACAAATTATTTGGAAGTTTCTTGAATATTTTGCATAATTAAAGCTGTATTTTAATGCAGAGCTGTGCCGGCCAGCAGCGTCTAAAAAGGTCAGCGGTTGGAACGGACCGACTGGAGAACCAAGCTGCTGTTGTGTCTGCTGGGCCACTAAGAGTCAACATGAGGATGAAGTCCATCCATCCGTCTGGCCGTGAGTTTGTTCAGATTAAAGAAAAGCTGCAGCAGAAGCACCTGGTTTTAGTTCAATAAATGCATGAATGTTTTTGATGTCTACAAACATCTTTGCATGAGTAAAATAACAACTTTCTCTTTCAGGGGGAGAACAAATGAGCGCGGTTGTTATCATTGCTGCATCAATAAGCTTCTTGGGAATCTCTATCCTCTCTCTGAGCGCAATCAAAGCAGTCATGGTGTATTACGAGAAGCTACGGCTGCAATAAACACTTTGAGACCCCCTCAGAAGCTCTTTTGTGTTCATGTAACCATGGAAACGTCTCCACCACAGATCAAAACAAATAATTATCAGCGCTGTTTGAGAATTAGAGGACAGGAAGACCACAGAAAGAAAAGATAAATAGGAAAGATGTCCTGATATTTTCCACGCTGGTTTATTTTCAAAGCGTTAAGTGGTGAACGGGACTGAATTTTATGGTCATTCTGTTCATGTTTTCACTCTGACAAGTCGGAAAAATCCTGAAGTTCATTTAAAAATGTTAGAAGAAATGAGACATTGGAAAAGTCGATATATGAAGTTAAAGGAAAATACAAATGGTTTTTGAAATGTCTGATTTTCTGCTTTACTCTGATGCTTCATTGTATAATCTGGATTTACAGAACAGTCCAGATATGTGATGAATTCCAAATGTGCAAATCTGGTAGAAACACTGCAAAGGGCCGCGGTAGCATTAAAAGCCTGTTAACCTGATTTTCCCAGTTTGTTTTTGCTAGTTGTCCTGTAGAACCTTTCCTGGCCCCTGTACTAAAGACCTAATAATATATTAGTTTATATGTAACGTATGCTTCTGAAGAGACTGATGGTCTCGGCTCCAGAGTCCCGAGGGCCTGTGTAGAGCAGCTCTGTGGGATTCTACAGCACCTCTTCAACCTTAGTCTGACCCAGGAGGCAGTTCCAGTGATGTGGAAGACCTCCTGCCTTGGTCCAGAGCCAAATAAGACTATAGACCTGTTGCTCTGACATCCCACATCATGAAAGTCCTGGAGAGACTTCTGTTAGTTCACCTCAGCAAGCAAACAAGACCTCCTGCAGTTTGCTCATCGCTGTGGCATTAATGAGCCATCATACACCTGCTTCAGTAAACACACTGTCATGTAGACGAGGCAGACGGCTTTTTAATCTAGTAGTCAGGAGCACCACAGGGCGGTACTTTACCATTGCTTTTTAACCTGTACTTTCAGTCCTGTTACCTGCTGAAATACTGCAGGTAACCCTGCAGTCATTGGGTGCTGCAAACTGGCAGCATAGCTGTAGCAAACTGGTTTCTTGGACAAATGTCCTGGTTTTAAATTTGAATGGTTTTAACCTTAATTTAAAAATTAAGGAAATAAAATGAATCTATGTTTGAGGTTACTGGTGAACCAGTTTTGTGTAACATTTATTTAGATTTTAAAAGGATTTACTAGAAATGTCAGAATGATGGCATAAAATCATGAATTAATTAAATCATTTAAAAAGTTTGGGTCTAATTGTTAATTTATACCATCCATTTTTTTGTTGGAGCAGATTAGTTTTTTTTCCTTAAAATTCAGAGGAAAAGTTTGAAATTATTGTAGATTTTCTGTGATCTATATGAGGTAACAGCTGTTCTTACATTAAATTATGCCAATATTTTGTTTTTGGTCACTCGCCTTAGATATTATTAAACAAATTTTAAAGGCCTGGTTTAATTTTGCCACAACTATAATTAGTTGACTTATAGCCTCTAACAATTCCTCTCAGGTAAAGGGACTGAATGTATTGTTCAGACTTGCTTAAAAGTTGCTTAAGATAAACCTGTTATATTTTGCACTAGTTGTGTCCATTTATTTTACCCATATACTGAATTTGGATGTTATTTTTTTCTGCTTTATGCAGTGTAGCAGTGCTGCCTCAGCATGATGCTATTTTAGTATTCCATTTTGAAAGGTCTACCTTCTCTCCTCTAAATAAACTGATAGTTATGATACTCCAAATAATATTTTTTGGATAGCATTATGAAGGGGTTTTGCTTAAAAGAAAAGTGTGTATAATTTTTATTTTTTTTGCCTTTTGCAAGTTTTATGAAGTGCTGTATGTGGAGGTTTGGCGCCCCCTGCTGGCTGGTAACAGTATGGAGGCTATGTAATGCGCTTTATGCAGGACTGAATTAAATTTTATCCTGTCCCGTGATTTAGTTCCTGCAATTTGATTTCTTTGAAGGCTAGTAGAAGGGGGGGGTTCCATTATTATAAACATGTTTTCTTTTGTAAGTTTTTTTGTTTTGTTTTAACAGTTATAAACAAAAAATACTTAATCTCCATATATCCATTACTCAACCATCAGCCATTACTTCATTAGAGAAGTAAAACTGCTTTGTGTCAAAACAAACAGCCTAGAGGAATCTACTATAAAGCAAACGTCTTTGTGTAACAAAAAATGCAAAACTTCTTGACTATAGACGACATTAGTGAAATGAGATATCAGGAAGGTCCATGAATCTGATCTAGGGAGCATTTCCCAACCTTTGAGAAAATACACTGAAAGGCTGTGCATGCTGCCATTTTCCATTTAGTGGGCTTGTCTATCACTGACCAAATCATTAACCAGCTCTGGAGAGGAAATAACTGCTGCTTCCTTGTATTTGGTCATTTCAAAAGGAGCAGAAGTGCTGTTCACAGACACATGGTAGAAGTGCCTTTTACACCTACAGGTGCTGGTCATAAAATTAGAATATCATGAAAAAGTAGATTGATTTCAGTAATTCCATTTAAAAAGTGAAACTTGTATATTATATTCATACATTACATACAAACTCATATATTTCAGATGTTTATTTTGTTTAATTTTGATGATTACAAATGACAACAAATGAAAATCTCAAATTCATCATATCAGAAAATTAGAATATTACTGAAGACCAATAAAAACAAAGGATTTATAGAAATGTTGGCCAACTGAAAAGTATGAACATGAAAAGTATGAGCATGTACAGCACTCAGTATTTAGTTGGGCCTCCTTTGGCCTGTATTACTGTATTCATATTGGAAATGAAATCTGCATCTCCAAAAAGTTGGTCAGCTGCAGGAAGCATGAAGTGCTCTAAAACTTCCTGGTATGTGGCTGCGTTGACCCTGGACCTCAGAAAACACAATGGACCAACACCAGCAGATGACATGGCACCCCAAACCATCACTGACTGTGGAAACTTTACACTGGACTTCAAGCAACGTGGATGAAGTGCCTCTCTTCTTTTCCTCCAGACTCTGGGACCTTGATTTCCAAAGGAAATGCAAAATTTACTTTCATCAGAGAACATGACTTTGGACCACTCACCAGCAGTCCAGTCCTGTTTCTCTTTAGCCCAGGCAAGACGCTTCTGACGCTGTCTGTGGTTCAAGAGTGGCTTGACACAAGGAATGCGACAGCAGAAACCCATGTCTTTCATACGTCTGTGTGTGGTGGTTCTTGAAGCACTCACTCCAGCTGCAGTCCACTCTTTGTGAATCTCCCCCACATTTTTGAAGGGGTTTTGTTTCAAAATTCCTCTCCAGGGTGCGGTTATCTCTCTTGCTTGTACACTTTTTTCGACCACATCTTTTCCTTCCCTTCGCCTCTCTATTAATGTGCTTGGACACTGAGCTCTGTGAACAGCCAGCCTCTTCAGCGATGACCTTTTGTGTCTTGCCCTCCTTGTGCAAGGTGTCGATGGTCGTCTTTTGGACAACTGTCAAGTCAGCAGTCTTCCCCATGATTGTGTAGCCTATAGAACTAGACTGAAAGACCATTTAAAGGCTTTTGCAGGTGGTTTGAGTTAATTAGCTGATTAGAGTGTGGCACCAGGGGCCATCAATTTTGAACCTTTTCACAATATTCTAATTTTCTGATATATGATGAATTTGAGATTTTCATTTGTTGTCATTTGTAATCATCAAAATTAAACAAAATAAACATCTGAAATATATGAGTTTGTATGTAATGTATGAATATAATATACAAGTTTCACTTTTTAAATGGAATTACTGAAATCAATCTACTTTTTCATGATATTCTAATTTTATGACCAGCACCTGTACTATTTAGTCAGCTTTTCTTCTGACACAGCATTGTTATTATTACTTGAGGTTTCTTTCAGGTTTGCACTGGATCAGATGTGCTGCAGCAGAAACATGTCTACTGGGAGCCTTATGTAAAACTAAAAACATATATTTTTTCTATGAAACCCTCTTTGACCTGTTGAGTACACAACAATGAAAATGATTAAGTTGAAAAAAATGTGCAATTATCTTTTCTGGATTTGAAGGAAGTTAAGAACTGCTAAAAACACTTTTTGAACTGCAGAGAAAAGGTTAAGTGGAAACAGGAAAATGTCATAAATTTTGTTTAGCAATAGCTGAGCCTGGGAACTTTAACACTGAATAACAAACTCTGGCATTAAGGCAATCAAGGTCTTAATTAGTGCTTTAGATGTAGATCTGGATTCCCTTTTAACCTCCTGGATGATTCATGCTAATTTCATTCGTCCTGATAAAGTGTCTGACCTCTGCTGTGGAAATAGTGTTTTTGTCCACTTTAATACTATCATCTTTCAAGGAGTTTTGACGACTTAAGTATCGATGACAAAAATAAAGGTTGGTGAAAGGTTGCCATAGATTTTCTCCACAATAGCGAGGGAACAACTGAAAGCCGAACCTGGGGCCTGTTTCAATAAGGAAGTTCAACCAACTCTGAGTTAAAACTTGAACTCTGAGTTGACCTATCCTGAGATTGGAAACTCTGAGTTTTGGGTTTCAGAACAGCTGAAATGAGTTAGTTTAATCAACTCTAAATTGACTGACTCTGAGTTAAGCGCGTGCACCACAACTATAAAAAGCCATTATCAATGGAGCACAGATATTACGAGTCACCATGGCAACAGCGTCAGACAAAAAAAGGTGTGCATATTTCTAACCAGCAGAACTGGATGTGCTTATGCAAGCATATGCAGAATTTGAACATGTATTTAAAAAAAAAAAAGCAACAAGGCTGCAGCGGCGAAGGAGAGAGAGTTAGCTTGGGTGAAAATAGCTGCTTGAGTCAATGCATAAGTTTACATTTTAATTACTTTTATACAGTGTTGGGTGTAATGACTTAAGTTACTTAAGTCATATAAATACTGTAATTAAATTAAAGACTATAAAACAATAGTGGATTTAATATCAAATTTTAAAAGGTATATTTTGATTTGAACTTTCTCCCTCTAGTTACACACTTTGGTCAATTTAAGATG